TTATTCCTTAATCGTGGAAGTCCTTTCTGAACGTGTGCTAGGCACAAATATTCGTTAGAAAATTTGTTACCTGCGAAATTCGAGTAAGTAGACCGACAAAATATCTTAAAAAGTCTTACAAAAAAGCTAATAACACCTATTAGCACCTATAGGCAGCGGCTTGGCTCTGTCCCTGGCGTTGCTGGAGTCCATGGGCGACGGCAACCACTCACCATCAGGTGGACTGTATGCTCGTCTGCCTACAAGGCCAATAAAAATTTTAAAAAAATATCTATTTTAATCAATTGAACATTTTACCTATGTTAATAATAGTTTACCTATGAAACATTTTATCTGTGAGTATTAATCTTTCCCAACTGAATACGCCAGTTAGTTATAAAATGGAATGGAATGAAATAGTTATAAAGTGGAAAAATGTTACTCCTGACACTATATAAATTTCAAAAATGTCTTACCAATTAAACTAAACCGCTAATATAAATGTAACAAGCAAACAAGGTATACTAGTTATGAACACCGCGTGGGCTCAGCTATTTAAACTATTTTAGTGTATACTACTTAAATATTATTTGTGGAATGAATGAATTTATTTAACTAGAATCAAAATGCTTTCACTGCATCTTGATAGCGAAGTCTGGTCGGTATTAATTCACACAGTGGACAAACCTGACATGTAAGAAATAAAAAGCAAAGTGAAATTATTACAAAAACGAAATTCAATGAGCGAACTTCAAGTAAATTTCGGTAAACAGATTTCGTAAACAAGTTACAGAACAGTTGTAACAATAACAAAAGTTGCCCCCGAGGTAGAATCACAATTTCCTTCAAAATTTACGCCGATAACCTTCAAGGGTTTCGTCTATTGTTCCAAATCATGAATTGTTCAACGTTTTAATTTTACATTTTGTTACATTTTTCATTACATTTCATATTTTTTATTACTGGTGGTAGGACCTCTTGTGAGTCCGCACGGGTAGGTACCACCGCCCCGCCTATGTCTGCCGTGAAGCAGTAATGCGTTTCGTTTTAAAAGGTGGGGCAGCCGTTGTAACTATACTTGAGACCTTAGAACTTATATCTCAAGGTGTGTGGTGCATTTACGTCGTAGATGTCTATGGGCTCCAGTAACCACTTAACACCAGGTGGGCTGTGAGCTCGTCCACACATCTAGGCAAATCTTTACAGTTACAGCAATTATAAACCTTCCATTAATTACCCAAACACAAATGTTCAAAGTTTCAACTAATGTATATGTATTTATTTAAGTATGAGTATTTGTATATATAAATATTATGTATGTTATATATATATACATATGCTTAAGTACCTCTAATATCACTATAACACTTCACCTACCAAGGTTTATCTCTGCACTCCCCTAAGGTAGACTGTCACAGAATGCCTATGGCATTAAGTCCGCCTTTATACTGTCAAGTATATTAAGTTATAAATAAATAAATAAACGAAAACATTGCGCGAACGCATAATTATGTCTGAAACAAACAAACTAATTGGATTTTTCATAGATTTATTCATATTAAAATTTATTTTTATTATAGATTAAAAAAATACGCGCTTTTTATTACTATGGTTGCAAGCAATGTACACGTGTGTGTGTGTGTGTGTGTGTTTGTTTGTTTGTTTGTATGTAACGAAATCTTTGAACGTAATTTTCACAGACATCATTCAGAAGCGACAGAAACGCTATTTATTCGCTATTTAAGCGTGTTTTCTTTACTTTTTAATATATATAATTTTAACATCAGCAATTGGCCGACACATAATTTCACTGATGACCTAGATACAGCGTTTTGTACCACGAGCAATATACAAGAACATCAGCTTCCTCATTAGATCGTAGCCGATTCATAGCATATAAATACGTAGTCAAAATTCAAATTTCACAATTCCCAATTGACATTTTAAAACTCAATTTATCGGGCAGCGTACAGTTTTAAAGCAGAGCCCCGCTCTCCCCACTCTCGCTACTCTACCCACTCTACCCACTCTCCGGCTTCTAGTGAAACATTCGTAAATCAACTTAGAGTTTCGCATACGGGCCCGACGCCAAGAAACTTTCGAACGTGACGACAATTCTGAATGCATTCATTATTGAAAGACAAAGGATCTGTGATAATTTAGACGAGACGTGTCGCCTGAAAAATAGTTTTATAAAGACACATTTAATACTGCAAAGTTCTTCAAAGATAGCCATTAAATTCTTTTGAACGTTCACGGCTACCTATATTACCAGGATTTTCACATTTGAGTCGACTATTATCAAAGCCGGCAATGTGACTTTTGGACAATTATTGGTAAATCAGAAAAACGAATTATTGACTTTGTATTCCATTGGCAGTTACAAAACTCTTCTGAACGACATCTTAGATAAATAACAGGTTAAGAATTAACCTTTATTTAATGCAGGTTTTGAACCGTATTCTTTGAAGGAGACGATTATATTCAAATCAATCTGTATTGACATATCAATAACATTTGTCCAAATGCACAGATTGCCACCTCTGATAATAGACGACTCATTTAACGTGTTCCCGATATTCCGGCGCAAATGCAAATGGTAAAACCCAAAAACGGACGAAAACAATGGTACACAGATTTGACTGCTCCTAGCATCCTACATCCTCATTATTCCGTCTACCCGTGATCATAAGTCTTGCAACTCTGCCTAAGTATCGGGAACTCATGAAATGAGAAAATTTTGATAAGAACCAATTAAATAATAACTTCATTTTCCTATTAAGTATAAAAGTATTTGTCTCGAATTCCACAGACGAGTGGGTTTGGTACTTTCTTTTTTTATTGCTTAGATGGTTGGACGAGCTCACAGCCCACCTGGTGTCAAGTGGTTACTGGAGCCCATAAACATCTACAAGGTAAATACGCCACCCATCTGAGATATATAAACATATATATAAACATATAAACTCCACGGTGTTTCCTGAGCGCTATGACATGTCCTTCTTCAAACGAGGCTTGTGGAGAGTATTAAGCGGTAGGCAGCGGCTTGGCTCTGCCCCTGGCATTGCTGAAGTCCATGGGCGACGGTAACCACTCACCATCAGGTGGGCCGTATGCTCGTCTGCCTACAAGGGCAATAAAAAAAAAAAAAAAAAAAAATATAAGTTCTAAGGTCTCAAGTATAGTTACAACGGCTGCCCCGCTCTTCAAACCGAAACGCATTACTGCTTCACGGCAGAAATAAGCAGGGCGGTGGTACCCAACCGCGCGGACTTACAAGAGGTCCTACCAGCAGTATTGCGGGTTTCATTTTTATTACACGATGTATTCCGTAAAGGCCACGATTCTCAGCACTGCGCACATGATGCACTGAGTGACTGTAGTAACCCGAACTTTAGATGATTAAGAATCGTCAATGAAAATGCGTAGTCGCTACTAAGCTGAAAATGAAGGTGAAAATGTATTTGAAGACTATTTTAGGCCTTGTATTCATCCCACACAATGTACTTGATCTAAGTATAGTCATTCGTTTCTCTATATTTGGTTAGTGTTAAAGGTTCCTTCATTTGGAAAAGGTTTGTATTATAAAAAGATTTTTCTCCTTCAAAAAGTATTCATAATAAAGTTTATTCAGGTTACGTACGCTATTAAGAATTCCGTAAAGAAATTTTGAAACAAACTGATATATAATTTCGACTTATCGCGAATCACATTGCTATGAGACGTGAATTGAATTTCTCATCTAGAGCAATAATTTATGTATATTTGGAGATGAGAATAGGGCCATCGACTTCACATAATGTACGATAATCGAATTCATAGAAAAACAATATTCTAACTATACTTAGCTGTATTATACTCTAGCCGTTGTAACTATACTTGAGACCTTAGAACTTATATCTCAAGGTGGGTGGCGCATTTACGTTGTGGATGTCTATTGGCTCCAGTAACCACTTAACACCAGGTGGGCTGTGAGCTCGTCCACCCATCTAAGCAATAAAAAAAAACCTTAAAATTGGACTACTATTTTAAAACAAATGTTCAACGATATTGTCTATACATGAAGATTTGAATATAAAATTGTGTATGAAGATATAATTGTAGACGCTCTAATTTTTACAAAGCTTTTGACAACCTAATCTGAATGATCTTCACCCAGCCGATTCCATTGCTCACTAATCTGGGAGTCTGAATGTTGTTATTCAGAATTTATATGGAAGATGTCTTTCGAATTATCTTAGATGCGATTAAAGTTTTATTGGATATCTTCTCTTCGCCTATAGTTACTATTAAAACAATGGTTTATTTCAATTGGCCACTAAAACATGGCTTTATTTTTAAGATATCTTAGTTCCCATAAGATAGAATTACTTCGTATGCCGTGATAAATAACTATGCGGGTAGCATATTATCGGTTACCCACACGGGTAACACAGGCGTGGCTGCTTGATCCTACCAGGAAGCTGTCGTCTGAAACAGCTGCTATACAACTGAGACTTCGAGTTTATTTATTTATTTATTTATTTTTATTAATTTAGTTTTTTAGTTTTTTTTTAATTAGTTTAGTTAATTGGTTAATTTAGTTTACTCGGACAGACAGGACATGTCACAACTTGACTGTCAAAACCTTGTTGTTTGCATAGATGGATGGACGATCTCACAGCCCTCCTGGCATTAGGTGATTACTGGAGCCCATAGGCATACGTAAATTCCGCCACACACCTTATGATGATATATGATATGAGTTGTAAGATCACAGTATAGTTACAACGGCTACCCCAACCTTCCACGAAACGCATTACTGCTTCACGGCAGAAATAGGCAGGGCGGTAATACCTACCCGTGCGGACACACAAGAGGTCCTACCACCAGTAATTACGCAAATAATACGACCTTGTAAATTGTCTCTACAGGACCTACGAATCGACAGGTTTTATGGATTATTTTTCATGTATCGTATCCAGCACGTATCGTTAGTTTGTATGGGCCTAAAAGAGAAGGTAAATTGATAAAGTACTCACGACGGTGGAATCCCGCCGACGAAGACATCAGAGTTGGTTGTGAACTTCCCGAAGGCGAATTCCTTTCCTCTGGACGTTTTCGTTTGGCTGATGCCGTCCACTGTCAAGGTTGTGTGCTCGTCTCTTCGGGCCACCTGGTCAAGAGTCAAAGTTAAATAAAACGTTCCACATACAATCACTGGTGGTAGGATCTCTTGTGAGTCCGCGCGGGTGGGTACCACCGCCCTGCCTATTCCTGCCGTGAAGCAGTAATGCGTTTCGGTTTGAAGGGTGGGGCAGCCGTTGTAACTATACTAAGACCTTAGAACTTGTATCTCAAGATGGGTGGCGCATTTACGCTGTAGATGTCCATGGGCTCCAGTAACCACTTAACACCAGGTGGGTTGTGAACTCGTGTATCCATATAAGCAATAAAAAAAAATTAAAAAAATACTCCTTGAACAACTAACTCCAAAGCCTCGGCCTAGGGTATCAGAAAAACCAAAAACAAACGTACCCGGCACCCGAAACATCAAATATCTTGAACCAAAATTCTGGCTCCAATTCACAGGATATCCGATCATTAGCCAATACCATAAAGTGGAGATACAATATAACTATCTTCTTAACTCTCTACATTATTTCTCTTTAATGATGAAAATTTTACCACCCCTTTCGATACCAAATAATGGTGCGGTCGTTTGTGACTATTCTCTCCCGAACCAAAATTAATAATCAATTTGGGAAACCCACGTTTTCTGTGTCGTTTTCGATTGATTTAAAAATAAGAAAGTTTTGCGGACTTAAAATCATGAATATTGATTAGCTACATTGTGGTCCAAAGCTCGAAATATTCAGTTGGCAGATGGCAATTAGGGCGATAGTAGGGGCTAAATAGATTACCATTTAAACGGGCCAATGACAAGAATTTATTGGGTTTCATATAAATTTCTGTACAGTTAAGATTCCAGAGTTGGAGAGTCTTCAAATATTTCTTATAATAGCTGACATTTCAACCTTACCTGAACTTTGTGCCAATGTCCATCATTGAGATTATTTCCGACAGTTAAAATCTGCGCGCCGCCTCCCAAATTGTATCTCAATCTCAAACCTCCATTAACGAGTTTCAATTCGAAAAAGTCATAAGTGCCACCGTCGTCCGTATACAAAAGTAAACCGTTCGGCTGGTCGGTTTTGAATTCAATTTCTATGGTTCCGTTGAGGCCCGCGTTCCACTTCCTGAATTGGGAGTATGGGTTTTGCTTGTCGAGCACGAAAGCGAAGGTTGTGCTGAGCGAGAAGGAGAGCAAGCATAGGAGTGCGTAGCGCATGGTCGCGACGGCAGACGGCATGGTCGATCACATCAGCAGATAACGAAGTAGCCTCTACACCGTTTGCGTTTCATTGCTTGAATATCTGAAACAAACAAAGAAACTATTAAAATTGTATCCACTCTCAACGCTTCAGTCCACGTTGCTATCCACACAGCCGAGGATAGGCAGGAGTGGCAGGATAATCCAGGAAAAAGTTGTTAAAGGAGGCCACGACCCTCAGCATTCAGGATTATCGACTCAACAAGGAGGTTAAAATTTTAGTTTTTTTTTTATTGCCTTTGTAGGCAGACGAGCATAAGGTCCACCTGATAGTGCGTGGTTACCGCCGCCCATGGACTTCAGCAACGCCAGGGGCAAAGCTAGGCCGCTGCCTACCGTTAAGTACTCTCCACAAGCCTCGTTTGACGAAGAATATGTCTTAGCGCTCGGGAAACACCGTGGAGGGGAGGCTCATTCCAAAGCCGGATGGTACGTGGCAAAAAAGATCTCTGGAAACGCACTGTGGATGAACACAGTGGCTCCAAGTATTATGGAGAGAGAGTCACCTGATATTTTTGGATTCACGAGCCAATGGGCATCAGAGCCTGATCGAGGCCCTCGAGAAATGAGATTGCAAAAGCAATTACATTGCAACATAGGCTGTTCTACTAGTAAAACCAGCCGTTTGATGGCTCACATCAGTAATACCTACGCGGGATGATACAAACTTAACTATTAAATCTTCAAGCGTCAATCTTATAAATGTATACATTAAACTGAGCTAGAAGACAACAAGCATATTCCAGTCTGGATAATTTGAAACATGCCTCAAAATAAATCCCCTGAACATTCTCGAAATTCTGAAAATGACCAATTCTGGATGCACACAAAAAGAACACGCTCCAGCTATTGCGGGTATTTTTTAATCTCGAACAATATTCACAGTGCAATTTTAATTAAACAAAAAGCAACTTTAACTGAGTGCAGCTAATGTCTGCTAATAACTGTTTAATTTCATTGTAGACTTTCTCAGTGTACAATTATGCTACCAATTACTGTTCATAATGCCAGCTCGACTATGAGTTCCTAATTAGAATATGTTCTTCATTTTTTAACAGAAAATATCTATGAACGAATTTAGTTTTTATTGTTAATTCTACTTTTACGGTTTTATCTCACTTTTCGGTTACTTACAGTTTTCGTGGTTGCGGACGATTGTAAAGTGTTCGACATATTATTATCATAAATAATAAACGCATGATCGAACAATAATAATAACTAGTGGTCGCCCAGTAGTCAAAATTTGACTATTATTAATTGAAACTATAAGTCTGAACATTATTAGGGTTCTATTGTCAAAGACTATTTATTATACGTCTATATACTTTGTAGGCAGCGGCTTGGCTCTGCCCCTGGCATTGCTGAAGTCCATGGGCGACGGTAACCAATCACCATCAGGTGGGCCGTATGCTCATCTGCCTACAAGGGCAATAAAAATAAATAAATAAATAAAAACACAGATTTTGCCAAGACTATACTATAGACAAATAATATCAAAGACAAAGGATGTTAATTTATTCTCAATTTCACCACAGACTAAGCAATATCAAAAGTTTGATAATAAACAAAAGAGTATGCTTGTGTGTTTGTGTGTATCAAACACATGGTAGTGTGTGTAATTGTTTTTTTTATTAAAGCATTTTTTTGCATGATTTTTTTTATTGCATGATTTTCTTGATTGCATTTTGAACGCATAATCAAAAAAAAAATTAGCATTCTGCACTACTTCTCTATATTCTCTTTAAGTGTGGGAAATTTCATACTCCTCCATCCACGCAATTTTCGTAATAAGGGATACAAAATTTTTGCTTCACGTATTAATTTATAGATTATTCAAATTGTTTTTACGACTTACAAAAACTAAAGAATATACTTTGATTTTTACTATCTTAGATCAGTAAACTAGCTCACGGAATACATACAACATAATGGATACAAGAACGTTAATGTCGCCTTTGAACTTGAGAGATGGTACGGTCCAACTCTCTGTCGTAGAATATTAGGCTCTCTCACCCTTCAAACCGAAACTAATTAGGCAAAAAAATACGATAAAAAACGGGCAGAATATCCGTCCTTACCCAGTATTAAATTACGATACGTAGTCTCCGAACAATGTCGGATCATACATAAATAAACAGCAAAAATGTATCATCCTTCATTTTGTTAGCACTATTCGGATTTCACTCAAGCTTATTCGATTCGCTGTAATGATAAACTAGCGACCCGCCCTCGCTTCGCTTCGGAAACATTAAAACACACATGAAACCAAAAAAAAAAAATTAAAAAAATTTAAAAAAAGTAGCCTATGTTCATCAGGGACAATGTCGGCTTCTAATGGAAAAAGAATTTTTCAAATCGGTCCAGTAGTTTCGGAGCCTATTCGAAACAAACAAACAAACAAATCTTTCCTCTTTATAATATTATATAGTATAGATATCACTACATTTACTAATAACATTTGTTAAAACCCCTTATTTTTGTCGATATATTTTTATTTGATCCTCCTCTGTTACATATATTCTAAGAACTTCATACAATAAACACATTAGAAATAACAGTCTTAATAACAGATTTTGGGCAGCATCATCGAATGTCAATAAGATTCACTGCCCCCATTAAAGTCCTACTAGATGATGACCGGTTTTTTTTTTTATAACGCCATCTTGTTGTGTCTTTAAAGCGGCTAGTTGCCCTCAATTAAGAAAAATAGTATTATTATTCGCCAATAGATGTCGGGAAGAGTTGATTATTGAAAACACGAATAAAACAACATTTTCCGAAAATAAATCGTAGCTAGATCGATTTATCGCCCCCGAAATCCCCTGTATACTAAATTTCATAAAAATTGTTGGAGCCGTTTCCGAGATTCAGATTATATATATACAAGAATTGCTCGTTCAAAGGTATAAGATAGTGACTAGCTCATGTGTTTTCTTTGCAAAAAGATAGATTTCGAAAGTGGTTTTTCGTTTTATTACTTTATCACTACATATTAACGATCGCGTTTATATAGAACAGGTAAAAGCCACTCGGATAGCACAAAAGACCAGCCAGAAAGAACGAAACTAGGCCGATGATAAACTGAAAACCGGAATTAGTATCATGAGTTTGCTCGTGGAGAAGGCACTGAGACGGCCATATAAGACGCTCTATCTACTCGTAATGACTAATACATAATAAATCCGAGGCTCAAATTCTCTGGCATGTCAATAACAATGTTTATAATTTACTGGTGGTAGAACCTCTTGTGAGTCCGCGCGGATAGGTACCACCGCCCTGCTTATTTCTGCCGTGAAGCAGTAATGCGTTTCGGTTCAAAGGGTGGGGCAGCCGTTGTAACTATATTTGAGACCTCAGAAGTTATATTTCAAGATGGGTGGCACATTTACATCGTAGATGTCTTTGGGCTCCAGTAACCATTTCACACCAGGTAGGCTGTGAGCTCGTCCACCCATCTAAGCAATAAAAAAAACTTATATGTGTATAAAAAGTGTTCACAAAGGACTACACAATTCAGGAATATCATAATGAATGCAAATTCAATTTTGAATAATTACTCGTGGCAGGGGGCATAGTGAATAATTGCGGGTAGTATTAAACTTCTTTTTTCTGTTTACCTATTCGCTGGTAGCCTAAGGGGCTATTCCAGCTACGTCCGGATGGGTAGGTGAGCTCACGGACTCATCCCGAGAGAATTTGCTAACACTAGCCCGAGCAAGAGCAGTGCTCCGCAGAATCTATTACCGGAACTAATGGCGACTGAGAAGATCCGGCGAGAAACTCAGTGGGCTGTGTCTATGGGTTAGTTCGCTCGACGAACTCTTCGTCATCGACGAGTTCGACGAGGACGACTAAGCATCATCCTGTATATTTCAGCCGCAAAGCAGTTATGCATTTAAGTTTAAAAGGCGGCACATCCAGACTGTGCGATTGAGACTACGATTCCAAATCTCTATAACAAATCCTAAACATACACATAACAAGCATACGTATTTTTTTTTTATTGCTTAGATGTATGGATGAGCTCCCAGCCCACCTGGTGTTAAATAGTTACTGGAGCCCATAGACATCTATAACGTAAATGCCGCCACTCACCTTGAGAAATAAGTTCTAAGGTCTCAGTATAGCTACAACGGCTGCCCCACCCTTTAAACCGAAACGCATTACTGCTTCACGGCAGAAATAAGCAGGGCAGTGGTACCGTACGGAGTCACAAGAGGTCCTACTACCAAATATAATCGAAGTACCTGTATGCATTACTTATTCCAATCTAAAAACCAAATTACGAGTCGCGTTACAAGCAATAAATAAATGATCTTAAAACAAGCAAAATTCAATTCATAAAATTTACCCCGAATAAATTCAATCTTCGTAATTTATAATTCGAAAACTTTTTAATGATTGCCGCATCCACATTCTCGACGCTCGACGTTTGCATCCGCGCGGAAAGAGCCCAGTCATCCTGGTACCGCGCTGGCAACGTTCCCGGGTTTTTTGCCGGTTCCTGTCGACTTTTTCCTGCTACCTCTCATTTGACGTGGCGCCTTCGAGCAGCTCTGATTTCACGACTTCGGGCCGTTTAATTATCCCCGTTCCACAAGTTGGCACGTTTTTCCGCATTCATGACGAATCCGGAAGCAAGTCAAGTTTGCGAGTCAAATTTCGTACGCAAAATGAATTTCCCTTTGTTAATTTTTAATTTTGAATGTAATTAATTTGATTTCGGTCATTATCCATTAATTTTTTTTTTGTTTATCGTCATGAATTACTTTACGAATCTCTTATTAGGGAGATAACAACTTAGTAGGGCTCATAATAAGATGGCACACAGGTTGAGGCTAGGTGGAGCTACAAGATTGCCGGAATAGATAAGCAGAATCGAAAACTGAGCTTAGTAGCTGAAATTGGCCCTATATATGAAACCTATGTATTGCTGTGTACAAGTGTCGAGTGATGTAGAAAAATATTTTTTATTTATTTTCATATGTAGGTAGGCGAGAATACGGCCCTCCTGATGGTGAGTGATTACCGTCGCTCATGGGT